TATGGGGGGGGAAGCCATTCTTATTCGTGAGTCGTACTTTTGAAATTTATATTCTTCAGATAGAGGGTGGGAAAGACAGAAGGAAAAATCTTCCATCCCTTGGTTGTTCTTACACATTAATCTGCTTGTTAAACATGCAGATTCTAAATTCACTTCCCTTCCACTATGACGCAAGCCCGTCTGGGATTAAGTTCAGAAACCTGCCAGTGATACCACTGGAACAGCCGTAAATGAAAAGTGGTCTAAAGCAAAGTTTAAACAGCACTGAGGAGAGTCTCTAAGAAAAGAGGAGGTTCACAACGGGGCCTCATCTGTGAGATTCCAGCGAGCAGGCGGGACACACAGACGAGGGAGGGCCTCTGTCAACAGAGGAGTGAGCACCCAGCTGAAGGAACAGACACCAGCCACAGAGGAACCTGCTCCTTTACCAGAACTGACAGAAAAGCATTAAAAAAAGTTGCCATTTTTATTTGAAAGAATTCTGACAAAAATGAGGCATTTAAAGTGGTATCTTCTTCTTAAGTGTGGATTTTCGTTTACTGAGAGGGTAAGAACGCATCCAGAGTATTTTTTATTCTCAATTTAATTCTTTTCAATCTGGAAACTACCTCATTCATTGTGGTTTTAATGGCATTCAAATGATCTTGAACAATAACGTTTATTTTCTTACATATTCATTGGCACAACCCTGAAAAAACTAAGTCATAAAAATAGAAGGCTGCTGATTGCATTGCCATTACAGCAGCTGGGTAACCATGCACTCAGGCTACATAATTGCCTGACAGAGTAAAAGTTATTTGGAGTACAAATGGAAGCTTAAATGTGAAATCTGTCTTTTTTAAAACCAAAGAGACTTTTTCTTCACTAATCATACTTTCAATTATTTTTGGTTTCTGATGCAAGATGTATTTAAGACTCTTCGTTTAAAAAAAATACAATGTGTGTGACTTTGTCAAATCATATGACAGAATTCAGAACTTACATTAGCAAAGTCCCTACTTTAGTAAAGGACCAAGGCTTCCCAAGCCCACCAGCCCTCATTCTACCCTCATGTAACTCTTTATTTTTGTGACTTTTAAGTATAATCTATTTTTAAACACAAAAGTTCTGAGTAATAATAAATTCTAAATGACAGCTTTAATCAACTGTGACTTTAATAAACTTATTTCTTACACTCCTCCCACTCCAGTTTTTCTATTTAAGAAAGTAATACATGTTATAAAAAATCTCAGGAAATGCTGAAAGGTATAAAAATGAAATCATCCATAATCTTATCACTCAGAAAAAATTAGTTTCTGTGTATGCTTTTCTACACCTTTTAAAAATGGACATATACATGTATGTATGTTTTTACTAAGCCAAACTGAAATATTATGCAAATACTACAAATGTATTTAAATTCAAATTTTTATCTTTTTCCATACAACAATGATCCTCAAATCAAAACAGACCACATCACCATTTTCAGCAGATACTAATTATGCCAATGTAACGATGTACAGTAATTTAAGTAATTCCCTGTTGAAGAGCCTATATGAACTTGTATTCATTTACCTTTAAGGGGTTACTTCACAAATAAGAAAGTGAACATTTAAATCTTATGTCTAACTAGAAGATTTCTTCTCTTACAAAGATTGCACGTGGATTCAGACTAAGAGATTGTCTTATTATTGGTGTGTGAAGTGTGACCCTTTTGCTGTTTCAACACTGAGACGAGTAACTATGGAGAGTTAAATTCCAACATTACCATTGGTGTCAATGGTGGGTTTGAGGGCTGCCCTTGATGGTTCCCCGCATTCTGGATTGGCTCTGTGGGACCAGAAGACAGTGTGGCAGGCTGCTGAGAGGATTCTGTCTTGTGGCTGTTACTTGACCCATCCAACCTGCTGCTTCTCTCTATGGCAATCAGGTCTCGAATTTTTTGTAACTGCTCCACTGAAGCTTTTTTAGGAAAGATGAGATGTGTTTCTCCCTGGAATTTATAACATTAGGAAAAGGATCAGGAATCACATAAACCAGTAAGTTATATAGCAACTATTAACTCCTCTAAACCCAGGGTTTTTTTTTTTAATATCTATTTATTTATTTGAAAGGCAGAGTTATACACAGAGAGGAGAGGCAGAGAGAGAGAAAGAGAGAAAGAGAGACAGAGAGAGATCTGCCATCTGCTGCTTCACTCCCCAACTGGCCGTGACAGCAGGAGCTGCGCTGATCTGAAGCCAGGAGCCAGTAGCTTCTTCTGGGTCTCCCACATAAGTGCAGGGGCCCAAGGACTTGGACCATCTTCTACTGCTTTCCCAGGCTATACCAGAGAGTTGGATTGGAAGTGGAGCAGCCAGGATTTGGACCGGCGCCTATATGGGATGTTGGCACTGCAGGCAGTGGCTTCACCTGCTACGCCAAAGCGCTGGCCCCATAAACCCTGGTGTTCAAAGAAGTCAGATTACCAGGTCCATTAACTTCTCTCTGATAACAAAAAGTACACTAGTGTCATTTCTTAACTACAAATTGTTGATAGTAAAAAGGTGATCTCAAGTCTTATGTGTAGCTTAGAATAATGAATATCACAGAATGTTTTTAAAAAAGATTTACTTACTTTTTATTTATTTGAAAGGCAGAGTTATGGGGGGAGCAGGGAGACACATAGAAAGAGATCCTCTATCCACTGGTTCACTACCCAAATGGCCACAATGGCTGGGGCTGGGCCAGGCCAAAGCCAGGGGCAAGAAACTTCTGGGTCTCCCATGTGAGTCACAGGCCCAAGCACTTGGGCCATCCTCCAATGCTTTTCCAGGCGCACTAGCAGTGAGCTGGCTGCATCAAGTGGAGCAGCCATGACTCAACCAGTGCACATAGAGAATAATGGTGTTGCAGGAGGCAGCAGCTTATTACCCGGCTATGCCACAGTGCCAGCCCCCTACAGTATGTTCAAAGTACTTAATGGGGGCCCATGTTGTGGCATGGTGGTAAGGCTGCTGCCTGTGACACTGCCATCCTATAGGGGCACCGGTTTGTGTACTGGCTGCACCACTTCAGATCCAGCTCCCCATAATGGTTTTGGAAAAACAACCGAAGATGGCCCAAATGCTTGGGCCCTTGCCACCTATGTGGGGAGACCTGGATGTGGCCCCTGGCTTCCACCTGGTCCAGGCATGGCCATTGTGGCCATCTGGGAGTGAACCAGGGGATGTAAGTCTCTATCTCTCCCTCTTTGTAACTCTTTCAAAATAAATAAATAAATCTTAATCTAAATGAAATTTATATTTATTAAATAAAAGCTTTTTAAAAAAAGAGTTTCTGACTGGCTTTAGTCTTAACATCTCAGGACCTAAAAAAGTAGTTTTATCAGTGTGACTAAGCAGCAGGAGACATTAATGCAGCTGAAACTGAACTTGTGAACTTTTGGGTTGAAGAATAAGTCTGGAATCTATCCCAGAATTTATAAAAAAGCTGTATATTAAGACCCCTGATACTTTCAGACCCACTTGTCTCTGAGCATGCATTGTTTTTTATGAAAATTCTGAGAGTAAAACTGAGGAACAGTGGAATCCAAATGGATATGTGACCCTACAGTTTAATTTAATGGAGTGATTCTCAAACAGGAACCTACCTACCCTCTACCTGCATCCTCCTTCATACTCTGGTGATGAATAAAGACTTTTCAAAAAAAGTCTTTTAAGATAAGATAAACATGACAAACTAATAAAGTAAAATAATTAGCAAATAACAAAATTAGAAAAAAGGTAAAATAAAATATATTCAATCAAGTTTTAAGGTGTTGAGAAACAAAAGTGTTATAGGTAAAACACTGTTACAAACTGTAGTAGACAGATTTGTAGATCATAAGCATTAACATCAATATTAATCAATTAATGTTAATTATTAATAACATTAATGTTAATTAATAATTAATTAACATTAATTAATTAACATTAATGTGGCCGATGCTGTGGCATAGCCAATAAAGCCGCTGTTTGCAGTGCCGGCATCCCATATGGGCACCGGTTCAAATCCCGGCTGCTCCACTACTGTTCCAGCTCTCTGCTATGGCCTGGGAAAGCAGAAGATGGCCCAAGTCACTGGGCCCCTGCACCCACGTAGGAGACTCGGAAGAAGCTCCTGGCTCCTGGCTTCAGATGGACGCAGCACCGGGCATTGCGGCCATCTGAGGAGTGAACCAGCGGATGGAAGACCTCTCTTTCTCTGTCTCTCTGTAACTCTTTCAAGTAAACAAATAAAATCTTACAAAAACAAACAAACAAAGAAACCTTCTACTGAGAATGCTCCTATTTCCCTGGTGATGGTAAACCTACAGAAATCAACTGACCAAGACATTACTCAATAATGATACAAAAATCAATTCTATATGAATCCTTGTTAAAAATTGTAAAGAAGCTTAGCAAGGTCCAAGTACTATCCATAACAGTGGATGAAAAAAATAGACTACAACTTATTGTGTGCTGATGTGTTGGAGGGACTATGCTAAGCACTTCACAGACATAATCTTAAGCAATTCTCACACTACATTGAAAGGTAGGTATTAGCTTATCCCCACATTTTATATGAAACTACAAAGGCTAAGGAAAAGTAAACCTGATGTTGCAGATAACTGGCATCACGCTATAATTATCACACGATAATTGAATTCCTCTTAAACTGAACAGAGACTAAAAACAATTAAGTGTGCACAAAAAATATTTGTAAAGAAAAGCAGAGTATCTCTGTGATGATGACATATACAACAACTGACAGAAACTTTAAAACAATGATTTTTCCAACATTAGAAAGAACCACCTCATATTTAGTGATGAGGCTTGAGAAGAAAAACCAGACATTTAGTTGAAAACCAAATATGGAGACATCTGATCTCACACTGTTAGTAGAGAACCAATGAGAAAGGCAAGAGCACCATGGACAAAGAAGGGAAAACAGCATGTTGGGTATCGGGATCCGGGTCTCAGCCCACACGTCAGAGAGCGCCCCATAAGACAGAGGTGTTGCTCATGCCTTGTTCCTTTCCTTTCCATCTCTTCTAGAAGAATATGTAACTATGGCCAAAATGCCTGTACCAAAAAGTTTAATCAACAGCACTCTTACTTTCACAAAAGGACAAAATAGGCTTAATGTACTAGATCCAATAACATTTAAAGGAATCCAGGAGAGTTCTAGAATTTAACAAACTTGTTTCTCAAAGTATTTTTGCTATGGCAATTTTCACTGTAGCATGTTTAACAAACCTGGTCTCTGACCATTAAATGTTGGTAATATCTTGCAGTCATGGAAACCACCGAAACTACCCTCACAAATTTCCTATAGCCCACCATCACCAGAGTATGAAGGAGGATGCAGGTAGAGGGTAGATATGGTTCCTGTTTGAGAATCACTCCATTAAATTAAACTGTAGGGTCACATACCCATTTGGATTCCACCGTTCCTCAGTTTTACTCTCAGAATTTTCATAAAAAACAATGCATGCTCAGAGACAAGTGGGTCTGAAAGTATCAGGGGTCTTAATATACAGCTATAAATTCTGGGATAGATTTCAGACTTATTCTTCAACCCAAAAGTTCACAAGTTCAGTTTCAGCTGCATTAATGTCTCCTGCTGCTTAGTCACACTGATAAAACTACTTCTTTAGGTCCTGAGACGTGAAGACTAAAGCCAGTCAGAAACTTTTTTTTTGAAAGCTTTTATTTAATAAATATAAATTTCATAGGCATAAGTTTTGGAATATAGCAGTTCTTTCCCTTATACCCGCCCTCCCACCCCAAACCATCCCATCTCCTAACTCCTTCTCCCATCCAATTCTTCATTGATTCATTTTTAATTATCTTTATATACAGAAGATCAACTCTATACTAAGTAAAGATTTCAACAGTTTGCACCCACACAGACACACAAAGTATAAACTACTGTTTGAAGACAAGTTTTACCGGTAATTCTCATAGTAACAACTCTAAGGACAGAGTTCCTACATGGGGAGCAAGTGCACAGTGACTCCTGTTGTTGATTTAACAATTGACACTCTTATTTATGACGTCAGTAATCACCCGAGGCTCTTGTCATGAGCTGCCAAAGCTATGGAAGCCTTTTGAGTCCAGAAACTCTGTCAGTATTTAGACAAGGCCATAAGCAAAGTGGAAGTGCTCTCCTCCCTTCAGAGAAAAGTACATCCTTGTTTGATGGCCCCTCCTTTCCACTGGGGTCTCACTCACAGAGATCCTTCGTGTAGATCATTTTTTGCCACAGTGTCTTGGCGTTCCCTGCCTGAAATGCTCTTGTGGGCTTTTCAGCCAGATCTGAATGCTTTAAGGGCAGGTTCTGAGGTCACAGTGCTATTTAGGGCATTTGTCATTCTGTAAGTCTGCTGTGTGGCCCAGTCAGAAGCTTTTAATTTAGCCTTCTCAAAACATGTTAAATTTTTCTGAAACTGTGACTGCATTTGCATCAAATGCTGCAAGTCTCACCATGACTTGTTACCTGGCACTAGGGTACCCAATCACCCAGTGTGCCTGAGACTGAGGGGTGTTCTGCTATGTGGGATTTTCAGTGCTAGGCAAACTGGGATGGCTGGTTAACTTACCTGGTACCCAAATACTTTCTGAATGAAAAGACAAATCTGATTTCATTGAATCTATGACACTTCAACCATAAACATTAGTTGTTATTAATTAGCCTCTAGTTGTTATTTACTAAAATTTCCTGTCCAATTTGAGTCTCAAAATCTTGGACCAAATCAGCAATGCTGTCATTTCAAATTCTCTATATTCAGATGGCTGTATGTAACTTATAATCAATACCCTAACTTATTTCCCCGCCTGACCTTTCATAGATTCATATATCCAATCATTTATTTGATGTCTCTAGTGAATAGTATTTAACAACAAATTAGTCAAGTTGTCCAAAAGACAGGTGATGATTTCCCTCCAGAAATCTGCCACTCTGAAAGATTTCTCCATCTCAATTACTGGTACTCCCATCCACTGAGTTGCTCCAACCAAAACCACGAATCCTGATTTCTTCCTCTCTGATATCAAACACCTGATTCAGCAGCAAGTCTTGTTTACACTGCTACAAAAGTAGCAAAAGTAGCAAAAGATTACAAAAAGTAATCCTGGATTCATCTATTTCTCATCTCCACTACCACGTGTACTCAAGCCAACAACTGTTTATAGAATGCCCAACATCTGAAATGTGCTGGCACTACTGCAAGAGCTAGCAGCACGAGGAACGAAACGAAAAGCCCTGCTCTCCTGGGACTCACAAACCACGACCATCTCTTATTTAGACTAACGTAAGCTGTCTGTCTCCCTTCTTCATCCCTGACCCTATTATTTTTACAACAGCTACAGTAATCTTTGAAAATATTCTTCCCTGCTGAAAACTTTCTGATGGCTTCCTATCTCACTCAGAATCAAGTCTAAGAAATCTCCATAATCCTCAAAACCCGACAAGTGCTGGTCGCTGCTGTTCCTGCAGCTATTCTGTGTGTCAAAGGCAGTCCTACTAGGAATCCTTTGCAAATGTTAACCTGCTGCCTAAAATACTCTTACCCCAGAGTTTCAGGTATGTTAGTTGCTTATCACTCAGGTGCCAGCACAAATGCTACTGCCTCAGAGGTCTCCCAGACCACTGCTTCTATGTTGATGCCTGCGTGACCCTGTCTTACTTTCTTCTTGTTTCCCCCAGGTCTACTGTCTGTTTAACCTAAAGAAGGCAAACTCTGTAAGAGACGGGACTGTATCCACCCAGTTCACTTCCGTACCCTCAGGTGCTGGGATGGAATTTGCCGCAGGAAGCAGACAGGGAGGAAAGTGTGTCCTAGGGCAGTGAAGCCTAGCTAACATTTCTACACCTGCCAATCCCAACTGCTGCTTGCTGCTCAAGCCCCTACAACCTGGTTCCACTTCTTTCAATACTCCACAAACAAGAAACAGCTAAGGGTGTAATAAGAGAATTCACAATCACGATAATTACTTTCGTTGTGTCATTAAATTAGGACACAAGATTCCTGAAGATGGAAACAACAAACTTTTCTTTTGAAATAAAAACAAGACAAAAAAATACTAAGATTCCTCTAGGCAGAGAAGAGAACACTTCTCTGTGCAACTGGACTCAATTCTTTTGTAATTACTTCACAATTATTCTTTCTTACTGGAGACAGATGGTTAGACCCTATAACTATTCATATCAACTCACAAATCAGGTATGTGCTCAGTCTTTGGGTTGCATGTTCAACCCTCCTTTCCTTTAAAGGACTGAGCCTTGTGAGTCTCTCCTTGTGGAGAGCTATTGTATTTTACAGTGACTTTGAAGTATATGAAGTAATTTTTTTTTTTTACAGGCAGAGTTAGACAGTGAAAGAGAGAGACAGAGAGAAAGGTCTTCCTTCCGTTGGTTCACCCCCAAAATGGCCGCTACGGCTGGCGTGTTGCACCGATCTGAAGCCAGGAGCCAGGTGTTTCCTCCCGGTCTCCCACCGGTGCAGGGCTCAAGCACTTGGGCCATCCTCCACTGCCTTCCTGGGCCACAGCAGAGAGCTGGACTGGAAGAGGAGTGACCAGGACAGAACCGGCGCCCCAACCGGGACTAGAACCCGGAGTGCCGGTGCCAAAGGCGGAGGATTAGCCTAGTGAGCTGCGGCGCCGGCCTATGAGGCAATTTTAAAAGTTCATGGAAAATGGAATAAAAAAGTAAGCTTATCTTGGTGTAAAACATTTTGAAATCCATGCATAGTTTTTTTTCATAGTACACATTTTCCATCAACTTTCTGAAGTACCCACAATATATGATTTTTAAATGTCAAATAGCTGAAGAAATAACTAGTTCTACAGATTCTCCAAACATCCAGTTAAAAAAAAGACAACATCTTATTCTAACAATTATTTACCAACACGAAGATGACTGCTTTGTATATGAAGCAGGCAGAGAGAAATCATGAACATACATACCTCTTCAAAACCCATTTCAAATAGACACTCCACAGCTCCCCTGACAGGCAAGAGTCTAGTAGAAAAAGCTGTGTTTCCAATCCGGATAGATCTGTATTTTTCATCATTAGGGTTTCTGGGGAAAAAAAAAAAAGTTGGATTATATGGGGCTTGCACTGTGGTGCAGAGGGTTAAGTGCCACTTACAACACCAACACCCAATATGAGCACTGGTGAGTCCAGGCTGCTCTGCTTCTGATCCAGTGCCCTGCTAACTGAGAAGCTCCCTGGGAAGCAGCAGATGATGGTCCAGGGGCTTGGGCCCCGGATATCCATGTGGGAGACTTGGATGGAGCTCCTGGCTCGTGGCTTCTGCCTGGCCCAGCCCTGGCTGTTGTGGCCATTTGGTGAATAAACCAGTGGATAGAAAATCTGTTTGTCTCTTTTCTATTATCCTGCTTTTCAAATAAATAAATACATACATAAACAAATAAATATTTTAAACAGAAGTTGAATTTTATATATGTGTGTGTGTGTGTGTGTGTGTATAAATTTATGCTCTTCCTAGTTTTGTTGCATTCCTTTTCACTTTTTTTACTGGCTACTCTCCTCCATAGTAACACAAACTCCAATTTTAAAGAGGAAGAAGTCTGGAAAAGTAGTCCAGTTTTGTGATTCTTACCTCAGTGTACATTTAGCACAATCTCATTTTTTAATATCACAGCTCAAAATATTAATGCTACCACAAACAAAATCCATGGAACATTTTAACTTTACCGATTTTTTTTTAAGATTTTTAAAATTTATTTGAGAGGCAGAGTTAGAGAGAGAGGGAGAGACACAGAGAGTTTCCAACTGTTGGTTCACGCCCCAAATGGCTGCAATGGCTGGAACTGGGCCAATCCAAATGCAGGAACCAGGAGCTTCTTCTGGGTCTTCTATATGGGTGCAGGGGCCCAAGCACTTGGGCCATCTTCCACTGCCTTCCCAGGTCATTAGCAAGGAGTTGGATCAGAAGAGGAGGAGCTAGGTTATGACCCAGTGCCCATATGGGATGCCAGTGCAGCAGATGGAGGTTTAACCTACTACATCATAGTGCCAGCCCCCTTTACTGTGTTTGTGAAGCTGAATACGTTCAGGTTGCTTAAAAAAAAAAATCATGTAACTCTAGGAGGAGCAGAAGATTCTATTTTACTCTGACGAATCACCATTATCTAGAATGGTGCTTGGCACAGAGGTGATGATTAATAATTATTTGTGAAATAAATTAAGCTATATAAAAATGGATCATAGCTCTCAAAAACTATACTTCCAAGAAACAAGAATCAAGAAATATGTTGTAATCACTTGATTTTCTTAATTTCCCTTGACCAGCAATTGCTTTTACTATACTTTTTTTTTTTTTTTTTGGACAGGCAGAGTGGACAGTGAGAGAGAGAGACAGAGAGAAAGGTCTTCTTTTTTCCGTTGGTTCACCCTCTAATGGCCGCTGCGGCCAGCGCGCTGCGGCCAGCGCACTGCGCTGATCCGAAGCCAAGAGCCAGGTGCTTTTCCTGGTCTCCCATGCGGGTGCAGGGCCCAAACACTTGGGCCATCCTCCACTGCACTCCCGGGCCATAGCAGAGAGCTGGCCTGGAAGAGGGGCAACCAGGACAGAAGCCGGCGCCCCGACCGGGACTAGAACCCGGTGTGCCGGTGCCACAAGGCAGAGGATTAGCCTATTGAGCCACGGTGCCAGCCACTATACGTTCTGTTTTAGTCAAGATTGCATGTATTTTTTACACAGCAAGTATAGACATAATATATATTCATATAAATTTCTTTTACCATAATTAAGATTTTTGGGGAAACATTTATTTATTTATTTATTTGCAAGGCAGAGTTAGAGAGAGAGAGAGAGAGAGACAGAGAGATCTTTCATCTGCTGGTTCACTTCCCAAATATTTGCAAAGGCCAGAGCTGGGCCAATCTGAAGTCAGGAACCAGGAGCTTCTTCCAGGTCTCCCACATAGATGCAGGGGCCCAAGAACTTGGGCCATCTTCTGCTGCTTTCCCAGGCACATTAGTGGGGAGCTGGATCAGAAGTGGAGCAGCTGGGACTTGAACCAGCTGGGATGCCAGTGCCACAGGCAGTGGCTTTACCTACTAAGCCACAGCACGAGCCCCCTATTTGAGTAAACATAAAATGAATACCAAACACATAAGCTTCAAATTGAAACTTTTAAAATAAGGTTGATGAATCAGAAAAACTTATTAAAATCAGAAAGAAAATCCAAGATAATCAGAATACTGCACTTAACAGACCCTCAGAACATGGTATAGTCTGGCACATCTGCCTTAAAATGGTAGTAGCTCCCGTAAGCACTATGTTAAGGTCTGTCTTGTGTCAAGGCTCCACAGAAAGGAGTGCTGAGGGGATCTGACCAGGGTAGGGGATGGAGGATGGGAACACTCTGACAATTAATCTACCACCCTTGTCCTACCTGTACATGTCCTCTATTTATTCTAATATAAAACCCAAACCCAAATATTTTAATTGTGCAAGTTTCAACAAATTTTGCATTTGTTTTCCATACATAACTTCCTGTTACCAAACTGCTATGAATACTAATTTTGTGTTTTAAAAATCTTTTCCTGATTTCAAAAATTATACAATTTTATTACAGAACATTCAGAGACAAAAGCTCTAACTGGTGCTATTCCAAATGTCCACAGATTGATACTGATCTATAGCCATGAGAAATATAGAATATTCAGTCATTTATTCAGTCATTTTTATAGCAATTCGATAACACCACGAAGTTCTCATTGTATTTTACAAAGTTACATGTCCACAAGAACTGGAGATTAAAAACAAAAACACTGCTCTTCACCACAGGTAATCCGAGAATCATGGAGTTGGGAAATAAAATTTTACTAGGGATTTGGCCCAGCGGTTGGGATACTGCTTGGCATGCCCACACTCCATATGAGAGTGCCTGGGTTCAAGTCCCATGTCCATTTCTAATTCCACCTCCCTGCTAATGCAAACCCAGTCAGGCAAAAGGTGATGGCTCAAGTACTTGGGTCCCTGTACCCATGCACAAGACCCCTACTGAACTCCTGGCTTCAGCCAGGCACAGCTCCAGCTGTTGTGGACACCTGGCAGGTGAACCAGCATGTAGGAGCTTTCTTTATCTGAATACAAATTTTTAAAAATAAAAATGTATGCTCTATTCCTTTATTCTATGCATCAGATCAGGGTTTCTCAACCTCAGAACTATTAACATTTGCTGGGGAGCCTTCTCTGAGTAGTGCAGCCTTCAGCATTCCTGGCATCCGTGCCACAGAAGTGTAGCAATCTTTCTTACCACTTAAATAAAAAGCTGTAACTTTAAAATAATTCTGCATCTATCAACACTAGCTGGGGATAACTGAGGTATCTTTCCATAATACTCAATACATTTCACAGGGTAATAACATATCAATACCACCGGGATAGTATAGCCCACCTGGATCAAAACTGCTTGGGCTATTTTCATCTATTTTTACTCAACAGCTTCCAGATCTCTGCATAAAAGTCTTTCTGGGCTTAATTTTCTAGTGTTTGTTTCCACCTTGACCAACGTTTAAAAATTCCTATAAAACGCTAGTTACTGTAATATAACTTATTTTGATACACGTTTTACTATATGTTGATAGGTCAGATTTTCCTCTTCAGTTTTCAGTGAGCGATTATCTGTTTTTAGAATACCTCTAAACCTCACCCATCATTTATTGGTTTTTCTCACTGAAAGCATATTACCATCAGGGACTAACCATGACAGTCATACAAAGTTCCTCAAATCCTATCCTTCTCATATTGGCTATGTTGAGCAGACCAGACATGGTCTTGAGCGACAAATGATGACAAAAATTTGCCCTCAAAGTGCTCAGAGAATCTGACTGTAGGGCCATCAGAGCCAAATTCATCAAACCTTGTTTCCTGTCTTTGGAAAAGTACCAAACACTTCAACTTGTAATTTGTCTCCTTCATCCCATTGTCCTCATCATCCTTGAAATCATTACCACATTCTTCATCCTGTACTATCTAAGAGACCCTTAAGGATCATTCTCATCTTTGCTTGCTCTTCTCCCATTAACTTACTTTTCATGGCATGTTTTTCTCAATTTTCACTGTAGTGCTTTGATTTTTTTCTTTTAAAAAAGTTTGTCCCCATTTATTGAAAAAGCAGACAAAGAGGTAGAGAGGGATCCTGTTTATTGGTTCACTTCCCAGATGCCCACAATGGCCAGGGCTAGGTCAGAGATGAAACTAGGTGCTGGGAACTCAATCCAGGTCTCCCACATGGACACAGGGACCCAGCCATTGGCGCCATTATCACTGCCTCCCAGGGTCTGTACTGGTGGGAAGATAAAGTTGGGAGTTTGAGCTGGGCCTCAAACCAAGGCACTCCAATATGCGATGCTGGCATCTTGATCGTTAGGCCAAATGGCCACCTCGACGTGATATTTTTCTATCTCTGCTGTTCATTAATTCTGCAACTTCTAATGTTGAATTTGTTTGTTACCAATTATTTTATACCTTTGCTTTTTCTTTTTTAATGTGTGGTGGTGGGGTTAGTGTTGAATGAATGGGGCCTTCGAAGGGCAGCAAATTTTCCTGCATCTCAACTCTCACTCAACCATCACTGTGAATTTGTTTTGGTGTCTTCCTAATTGTCTTACCCCATGGTTATCTATCAAGTCTTTTTTTTTTTTTTTTTTTTTTTTTTTTTTGACAGGCAGAGTGGACAGTGAGAGTGAGACACAGAGAAAGGTCTTCCTTTTCCATTGGTTCACCCTGCAATGGCCGCTGCGGCCGGCACACTGCACTGATCCGAAGCCAGGTGCTTCTCATGGTCTCCCATGTGGATGCAGGGCCCAAGCACTTGGGCCATCCTTCCGGGCCACAGCAGAGCTGGACTGGAAGAGGAGCAACTGGGACAGAATCCGGCGCCCCAACCGAGACTAGAACCCAGGGTGCCAGTGCTGCAGGCAGAGGATTAGCCTGTTGAGCCCTGGCACCGGCCCAAGTCATTTAACTTACAGAAAATTAGTCTGCTTTCATAATTGAATGGTAAGAAAAAATCATATTTTCTACTTTAAAAGTCATAATCTGAGGCTGGAGTTGTGGCATCATGGGTAAAGATGTCACCTACAATGCGGACATCCCATATGGGTGCTGGTTTGAGTCCCGGCTGCTCCACTTCTGATCCAGCTCCCTGCTAATGGACTGGGAAAAACAGTGGAGGATGGCCCAAGTGCTTGGGCCCCTGCCACGCACGTGAGAGACCTAGAGGAAGCTTCTGACACCTGGCTTTGCCCTGGCCCAGCCCTAGCCATTGTGTCATCTGGGAAGTGAATTAGTGGATGTAAGTTCTATCTCTCCCTCTCTCTGTAACTCTTTCAACTAACTAAATAAATCTTTTTTAAAAAAGTCATAATTACCATGTTTCTAAGATTGTAAGACATGTTAATAGTAAGCAATAATACCATCTCAGAAAAATGAAAATATGAAATGCTCATCTCTATTTTAGTATTTTAGAAACATTGAGAATTAAATATATTTAACTATTAATTAGCCTCCTTAAAGAATGCAAAATCCCAGAGGGATTTCACATACATCGAAATTTGGTAGGATTATGTCCTATAATCTTGCATTTTTATTAGTAAATTTTATCTAGTCCTTCTGAAAACCTGTTTTTCTGAGATATACATATATTTTTCAAAAACAACTATGCCTTAAGAAGCATGTTTAAATCCACTCACTCCGGTTCTAACTCTAGCAATCTGTGTTGCTGACAACTTGTATACCTCATTTAGTCTGTTTAACATGAAAAAGTGAATAATACCAACAACAGACAACATCAGTGGCAGCTGCATACTGCGTGCCAGATCTTATATTTCTGTTTGAGGAAACTGAAGCCCAAAAAGTTTACATAAATCATCTATGATCATACTCTTAGGAAATGGTTGAGTAGGATTTAAATCCACTGGTGTGATTATAAAGTTTATAATAACTCACGCAAGGTATCAACAAGCTTACCAATCCTCAATTAACTACCCTCTATCCTCAATTTATCCAGGTGTCAGAGTTCTTTCGATTATTTTGTCTACTATAGCTCTACTCCATGCATCCAGTGATTAGAACTGCCAATTCCTGCCTATACTGCCTGTCTCCAATCCATCTGCATTTATGAGTATATAATAGCTTTACAACTGGAATCAATGTCATGTGTCTTACTACTATTCTGCATGAAGCATTCTCATTTTATGCTTCTCTTTGACCTTAGAAACTGTGATCTTGGAGATCATGTCAGATATACAGTCTCTGCTACTCCACCAACTGGTCCTATCTCATCAAACTTCTATTCTCAAAACTGTACCATGTCAGGTCCTCTTGCTATCTCCTCACATAAACACGCATGCACTTAAATACTCTCATGGAATTGTCCATAGAGGACATGACGTTGCCCCTTTTCATAACTGTGTGTTTTTACAAAACAGATTTATATTCTTTGGATAAATAAGCCACTTTTCCATTGCTGGCTCTTCCCTATCACTAGCCAGTGCAGTTTATCATCAATAATTGTGTGCAGTGTACAAAGGAAATTAGTGAAAAATCAGGATATCTTTTAAAGAATAAATGGAACAAATGCTCTACAAACCCCTATAGAATGTCAATGAAACTGCTACAAATTTTGGGGAAAGTAGATACCATAGAGGACAGGTCATTTTATCTAAGAGTCAGTGAACAGAAAAAAAGGTTCAAATCCATGACATATTATGCCTGCAAATTAGCACGTATTTTATTCTATAATTACACTGATGGCTATCAGTTGGAGGATAGGCTAAATATCATCCAAAGCATACATTTAAAACTGAACCAAAAGTATTACTTTTGAGATTCAGTGTGTACAGTGACAAGTACTGGTGCTTAATAAAAACCTGATGAAATTCTCACTTCAGCACTCATTCTAGGAAACTGTATGTCATTTCCTGAGGTAAGAGCAAGGGACAGCAAACCAAAACCCTTTACACAATCCCTTACCTCTAATGCTAGATTGCCCCGAACAGCGTGGGGAACAGACAATCTTGAGCTTCTGTATTTTGCAGTTAGCTCAGCAGATCTGTAAGGTCAAGTGGTGGGAGACGCGGAGGGGATCTGAGGCTTTCCTGTAGGAAGCTGGCAAGCCTCCACATCCCCACCCGCTGTCTCACTGTCCCCCAGCCTGAAGGGGTTTGAACTCTGAGAATATGACGTTAGGGACACTATCAGCTAAGAAAAACTAAAAAGTGCAGTTTTCAATACCATCTCCAATTATCTGAGTTCCAAATTCATAATTCCCCTTTTAGATAGAAACTCTTGAACATCAGAATCAAGCCACAGTAAAGACAGTACATGGACTGATTCCATACCAAGAATCTTTCAGTTTACCAAACATTCAAAATGATTACCATGCACACAGTCATTCGCATGCAAAGGTTTCCTTCCGCAAAACACCCTGGTTCCACTGGCCGGGAAGCAGGAGTGAATCCTCATCACAAGGCCACCCGCCTTCTCTGAACAGCAGGGTTAAAACAGTTTGATGGCTGGCTTTCCAGGCTGGAAGACCAAGCTGATGGCCTCGGGAGAACACAGCCTATAAATTCGCTCACAGCAGCCACGGGCACCTGCGAACTCGGAAGGGCCGTATGGCCTCCAAGGGTAGGCAAGGTGAGTTGAGAAGGTGTCACAGAGAAGGAGGGTGGTCCTCACCTAGGTCACAATTCTCTGGCTGTGAACAGTCCACGTGCTGCATCTCTCACAGCTCCTGGCACATAATAAGGGGGTAACAGCTTGTCCCTTCAGTGTACTTTCAAAATCATTAACTTTACCTAAATAAACAATGCTGCTGCCATGGGTTTAAAAACTGCACTTGCAATTGCTCTAAAAATTGGGTCACATAGTGCCTACAGCCTTGAAAGTGAACTTTTAGACTTCATGCCAATCCACACACCGCTTAGAAGAGGAAGACGCGCCAGAACCTGCACAAGTGTGACCCAAGAGGGAACTCCATGGAAGCACCTGGAACTCCAGTCCCTTCCCCTAAAGCCATGTCCCTCCTGAAGACACACGGCCTGATCTGAAGAGTTGGGGGTGGCGGGGGTGGAGCATGACAATAATCAACCTTGCCTGACAATTCCCCCAACGGGTAAGGTCTCCTCCAAGGTGACAACCTTCACTAATTCTTAAAGGATCGCACTGCAAAGTGGACTCTAGATATTAATATATAAAGTGTAACTGAAGCACCATGGTTAATATTGCAACCAACAAACATGGGCAGAAAAAAAAAAAAAAAGCCCAAACCATGTGAAGCCCACCCCTTCCTAAACAGGAGCAGAAAGTAGTCCTGAGACGTTCAATCGGTCGCGGACCGCGCTGTGACAAGCGGCTGCACCTGCCAGCCACGCCGCTGGCACCGCCGCCCGGGCACTGAACACAGGCGAACCCCAGGCCGAGAGGCGGCGGGTCACCTGGGCGGCCGCCAGCAAACGCCCGGTCACACCTGCGAAGGCACTCGCTCTTCTCACGGCGCTGCGGCCTGGCCGGCGGAGCTGGAAGCTGAGCCGGGGCCACCCTCGGGCCCGGGCCCCTCCGGGCCTCGCCGCCTGCGCGCGGCCGGGGTCGGCGCCCCTCAGCCCCGGGCCGAGCAGGCGCCGCGGCCCACCCGCCCCGGCCCCCCGCCGGCCCTGCGGCCCCACACCTGAGGATGTTATCGGCGTAGGTGAGCAGCAGCTTGGAGGCCTCCAGAAAGGTCTCTGGGGTGTTCTGGCAGAGCTCGGCCACGGCCGGGGACGCCGAGCCCGAGGAGCCGCCCGGCGCCGCCGCCGCCGCCGCCGCCATGCCCGAGCGCGCGCGTCCCGCACTGAGCAGGCGCCTCCGCGGCGCGGCCGCCGCCGCCGCTGCCCGCTAGGGGCGGTGTCCGGCCGGGGCGGGGGCCTGCGGGCGGGGGCGGGGCTCGGGCCTCGGGCCGGAGGGACGGCGGTGTCCGGCCGGGGCGGGGGCGTGGGGCTCCTCGGGCGGGGCGCGGGCCGGAGGGACGGCGGTGTCCGGCCGGGGCGGGGTCGCGGGGCTCCTCGGGCGGGGCGGGGGCCGGAGGGATGGCGGTGTCTGGCCGGGGCGGGGGCCTGCGGGCGGGGGCGGGGGCGGGGCGCGGGCCGGAGGGACGGCGGTGTCCGGCCGGGTCGGGGCCTGCGGGCGGGGCGGGGGCGGGGCGCGGGCCGGAGGGACGGCGGTGTCCGGCCGGGGCGGGGGCCTGCGGGGCGGGGCGGGGCGCGGGCCGGAGGGACGGCGGTGGGATGGCGGTGTCCGGCCGGGGCGGGGGCCTGCGGGGCGGGGGCCTGCGGGGCGGGGGCCGGAGGGACGGCGGTGTCCGGCCGGGGCGGGGGCCGCAGGGACGGCGGTGTCCGGCCGGGGCGGGGGCGCGGAGTGCAGGTGTGGGCTGCGTCCGAGAGGGTCCGGGGAACTCGGCTTCCTCAGCGCCGAGTGCCAGCCGCCGGGACCCGGCCGCGAAGGTGGAGAGGCCGCTTCTGGTTCCTTGTCGTCACCACCAATAAAACACTGTTATGGCCTCTGTGCCCAGGCGGTGCTAGACAGATAGTAGCCATGGATGAAAAAGACCCCCAGAAGGAACGACCCCGGAAGGAACGAGCAACAGCCGTCCAAAAAAAAAGGAGCTTGGCCGTCAGCCCTGACGGGTTCCTGGTTATGCAGATTCTGAAGTCGGTTAAGTCCCGGCTCAGATAATAGGATTCAGTAAAGGAGTGTTTTGTAAACTTCAGGAGCCACGCGTCAGTGGGATGTGGTGGCCAGCATGAAACACATCCACAATAATAGTAGGATGTGGGGGGAGGGCCAGAGAATCAACATTTGCATCCCACACAGCAAGGGTGCTATTTCGGGACGGATCATGCTTTTAGTGTCTTGACTTCATGTTTTTCAGATACCTTATTTGCCTAAGAAGCCTCTTTAAATCTTCTCGATGCTTCATCTTATGTTGACTTTGAGGATTTAAAATTCTCTTCAGTGTCTGAGCAAAATTGTGAGCTGTGCAGTCCATTTCTGCTACCATTCATCTGCCAGATGATAACTTTTTGTACTAGCTTCAAGAATAGTGTGTTCAACAGGTAGTATGTGGTGAGCTGCTGTAACTAAAATTTTTGGTGGCTTAACGAATAATTCCTTTCTGGCTCACCTAAGAGTTTGATAATGCAGGTGTCATTAGTCATTAGTGGGCCCAGGCTTCTTCCATTCTTAGAACAGGAGCCAACAAACGTTTAAGAGCCAGAGAGTAAATGTTTTAGGCTTTGCAGGACTTAGGGCCTGCCTTTATTTAACTCTGCCTCTGCATTTGTAGCTCCATAGAATAAGCGAGTGTGGTTTTGTTCTGACATTTTATTTACGGACTTGCAGCCTGCTGGATTTGTCCTACAGGCGTAGTTTGCTAACTCTTGCCATAGGCCTCTGAGACTTCTTCGTTTAATTGAGCAGAAAGAAGGCCTGCATACTTCTTAACCCCACTATGCCACAAATGATATACAGTGTTTGCACTGATCCTTGACAAGTATGAGGCTTCTACTAGATAACAGAGAGGGAGTGGAGGCTGGCAAGTGTAGTCCCTACACGGACAGGCACCTCCCACAACTACATAAGGGGAAAGGGAGTGGCACTGGGTATATAACCAGCTGTCTCTATTGCCAATGATAATCTCCTAAATTTGGGTTTCTCTTTTCCATTTATATGTGTTTATCCTTATAATCACATAAGAATATGACAATATATGGCAATTATGACTTTAAAAAAAAGAAGCCATTTTTCATATAAAGTCTAAGGAAGAATCTTTATACACAAAACACCAAGGCGAAATGCCTTGGAATTGGAGGTGTGTAAGAGGAGGGGCAGAATGCCATCAGCTCAGCCTTCCCTTCACAGATACAATGGCCATAGGGTACTTCTGTGGGGACCATGCATCCACAGTGAAAAACCAATGCCATAACATTAACACTGAAACTGAGTCCCTGTGCTAATGCACTTGTAGACTTTATCAGCCCCTAGCCTTGCCTCTTAGCTTGCAGTCCCCCTGTCTCCAATTGATGATTGCAAGTCAACTCCTTAAGAATAACTCATTAAATTAAGGAAGTAGTGCAAGATCAGTCCCCACAAGACCCCAGATCACAAGACTCAGAATTCAATGATCACTTCTAGAGTTAAAATCCTAATAATAGGTTCTATTTTGACATGTTTCACAGGTCCTGATCAAACAAATTAATGACCAGTCTACCCACGGACCAAGCCCTCTGCCATCACAGCATTTGCAGAACATGCCAGCCTCCTATCAGTGGCCAATGAAAGGAAGGCCATGAGCACTGAGGAGCTGTTCACACACTATGCAACCCCAGGTGTGATGTTTATCTTAGAGAGTCTGGGAATTGAGCAAGAGCTTACTGCTGCTGCAAAGTGGACACCTACGTTCTTCTATCACCTCCGCGTCAGTGATTGGCTTGTTCTGTGCAGGGCAAGCAAACCTAAGTCTTTTTTCTTCTTTTAAACAATTTGTCAAGTGTGCACATGAGAGAGAATTAGCTTCCATTTTCTGGCTTACTTCCTCAAATGCCTGCAATTACTGAGGCTGGGCCAAAACCAGGGGCCAGGAATCCAATCCAGGTCCCCTGTGTGGGTAGCAGGAACCCAATTACTTGAGTGGTTGCCACTGCTGTCCAAGGTCTACACTGGCAGGAATTTGGAAGTTGGAGCTGGAACCAGTTATCAGACTAGATAGTCCAACGTGGGTTGTGGACTTCTTAACTGACATCCTAACCACCAGGCTAAATGTCCATCCCTTAACCTGGGTTTTATTTAAGATTCTACAACAATGCAGATTTTGTCTCACTCTTTTTCCTACTGTTTCTTCCAGTAAGTCAAGTTGGAGACATTTAAAAAATGCAAGATATTAAACTTTCCTTAATCTCCTTATACTGTCAAAAATCTTAATATTAAATAAACTTTGAACTTCCTATTATTTTGATTTTTTTTGATTGTTGTTCCTGTATGGTGATTTTTTTTCAGGATTCCAACTTTAATAAAGACACTGTCTTTAGAATTGACACATGGTGGCACTATTCTTAAATGGAATGGCAAAAAGAAATAACCCACTAAAATTTCCCCAGGATCAGTTTTGTCATTCAAAAAAAAAAAAGTAGAAAATATTGGCACCAAGGAACTGGTGTGGTGAGTCACCATGTGTGATTGCATAAATTAGTGAACCAACAACTACTTATTCAGTGCCTGCTATGTGCAAAGCAGACTGAGAAAACTGGCATAAAATAGTTTTAATCTAGCAGCGAAGACAAAAATAATGCTGATAACTTGTACACAGATAGCCTTTTAGCTGACAATAGAGAAACTTACTGTGAAGAGAAAAACCAAAGCCCTTTGGTAAGAAATGCACAATACATGTATATAGGCAAGGTAAGGGTATATGTTCATCCATTCATTCTGTAATTCACTCATTAACCAAACATTTATGAAGTGACTGTTAAATGCCAAGCACCATGCCAGGCACAGTGAAACACTGAGACAGACAAGTACAATCCCTGTTTTCATGCACGTCATGATGAGTTTAGAACAGCAACACCAACATTACCAGGAACTTGTAAGGCAGACCAGTTCTTAAGCCCTATCTTTAAAGGTGGGGCCTAACACAATAAATTTGAGAAGCACTAATTTAAAGGAGGGAAAATGTCATTGTAGCTTACATTTTCTTGGTAGGGGAAGAATTTGAACAGAATCCTTAAGTTGAGAGGTTAAAGAAGAGAGAAAGGGGAGGACTTCCAAGCTATAAAACAAACAAACAAACAAACAAACAAACCTCCCACACTTAGTATAGACACTGTCCTAGCGACATTTGCTTCTCAACATCTCCTGCATGTCTGCTCTTTGCCATGGCTTTAGTCCAAGTCCTCCTCATCCTGTGCCTAGTGTCACCCTCTCCCCTGTTTCCATTCCCACATCCTTCCATCCTCCCTGTACTTAGCTGCAGTAGTGATCTTTCTAAAGCACGCATCTGACCATGTCATTCTCCTGGTCCAACGTTTTCTGTGGTTCCTCCTGCCACACTGTACAGTCAGGGTGTTAGAGCCAAGTATGTAATGTCAATGTGTGAAGTGACTATTTTCAAGACATCGGAGTAGGGGAACTTCTGGTGAAAGGAATCAGAGCTAACCATTTTCTTCACAGGGAAATTTAGATTCAATGAAAGAGCAATGCACTCCAGATTAGACCAGGGCTGTGTTGGATTTGATCTAAAGTCCTCCATATGATACCCAAGGCTTTTGTAATCCAGCCCTTGCCTTACTCTTACACTTTTTTTTTTTTTTAAAAAAGACTTATTTATTTATTTAAATGGCAAAGTTACACAGAAGCAGAGACTTAGAGAAAACTCCTATTAGTAGACTAAGCCTCAGCCTGTGGCTCTGGAATCCCATCTCTGCACTGGTTCGTGTCCTGGCTGCTCCTCTTCCAGTCCAGCTCCCTACTAGTGGCCTAGGCAGCATGCATTCATGTGGGAGACCCAGAAGAAGCTGCTGGCTCCTGGCTTTGGATCGGCTTAGCTCCAGCTATTGCGGCCATTTGGGGAGTGAACCAGCAGATGGAAGACTTTTCTATCTTTCCCTCTCTCTGTCTGCAACTCTACCTCTCAAATAAATAAAATCTTTTTTTAAAAAAATTAAAGAGGTTTGGCTATGTTTTCCCTTAATAGATTCACAGACTGCTCTAAGCAAATGTTAGTAAATTTTTCAGACTAAATTTACAGTTAAATGTCTCAAATCTCTCATTTTTTTCTCCATTCTTATTTGACACTTCACGTGATGTTTTGAGTACTGTCTCAGATGGAGCAATTTTTTTTTAAATATTATGTATTTATTTGAAAGGCAGAGTTAGAGAAAGAGAGAACGGTCTTCCCTCCACTGGTTCACTCCTCAAATGGCCACAACAGCAGAAGCTAGTCCAGGTTGCAGCCCAGAGCCTGGAGCTCACTGTGTCTCCCACAGGGGTGCAGGCGCCCAAGTACTTGGGCCATCTTCTGCTGCTTTCCCAGGCGCAGAGGCAGGGAGCCGGGTCAGAAGTGGAGCAGCTGGGACTCCAACCAGGGCTCATATGGAATGCTGGCACAGCAAGCAGCAGTTTAACCTTGTGTGCTATGTCACCAGCTCCTCCAAGTTTTGTTAAATGTAAAAACTTTGTGACACAAGCACTAATAAAAAACGGGCAAATCACACTGTACACTCTTGCAGATATTTCAAGTTTTTAAAAATGACATACTGCATGTGTTAATTAAAATTTAAAAATTGACATATTGACATATTTGGATTTACTCTAAAACATAGCATCAACATCTTGACACATTAAAACTCCCAGGGAGGATTTCTTAAAATGGCTTCACGGCATTAAGATGTACCACCAAGTACAATTTCCTGATGTTGGGCATCTTTGACTTAGTTTTATTTTACTCACTATTCTAGATAACTCCAGGATATGCTGTAATGACTCTGGGGCCACAGTGATTTCCTTAATTTTTTTTTTTTTCTAGGAGTGCTGTAGAATATGCTGTGGTCAATACGGACTATTCGGACGCTATCCCTGCTGAAAAAAAGAATTCTCTCAGATGGGCAGAAACACCATCTCGCTGGATATTCGCAGGTTCTCGAGCCCTCTAGGCCGACCGCCCAGGCCGGTCTGACCTCCGCCAAGGTGACGCGGCACCCGGCCGCCGGCTGCAGCGGGCGGGCGCGGGGGCGCGCACGTGCGTACGTACGGCGCGTGCGTGCGCGAGCGTCCGCCGACGGCGCGAGCCGCGCCTCAGGTAGCCGCTGCGGCTTCCCTCTTCCGCTTGGTCCTCCCCCTCCGCGGCCGGGTCGGATCTCGGGAAGGGCGCCGGGGGCTTCTGTTCCTGTGGCCTCGCCGTCTGCGGGGCGTGTGTGGCGGTGCGGGGCGGGCGACGCCCGCTGATGCCCGCGTCGGGCCCCGGCGGCGATCACCTGGGCTCCTCCCGCCGGTGACCCGCTTGGCCGCAGAGCCGATGGTCAGCCGATGGTCAGCCTCAGTCCTGAGCGGCTTTCGAAAAGGCGGGGTGGTTCCCAGGGCTTGAAGACAGACCATGGCCGCGAACGCCGCCTCACGGAGTAGGCCCTGGGTGCGTTTTCTGTGCCTCTGACTCCATGTGGGATAAGTCCTCGGTAACCCTGAACCAGCCCGGATCAGTCTGGGGGTTCCTTTTTATTTTTCACCGTAGAGTTTCCATTTTGCTGACTAGTGCATATTTTGGTCTCTGTGTCTTTAGACAGCTGAGGGTACTTAAAACCTAAAGAGGGAGTTGTGTCTACACAAATGGTTTGAAGACACAGTATGAATTGCAGTTTTGTAACATGATGTGCCTTGTGCTTATTTAACATTTCGCATCGGCGATGCCTGGGTTGTCGTTTCTTTGGCCCGTCAGCGGTTTTAACGGTGAATCTTTCCTGGGTGTGTCGTGGTCTGTTACAGGGATGTGTTTCTGATCCTCTGAATATCAGCCATGCTGTCAGACTGCTTGCAAAACTTCCTGAAGCTTCCAAGCCCTCGCCTTCTGTATTCAAGATCATGCCAGTGGGTCAGAAGCAAAAGGAGGTTTTTTGGAACTGTGCCGACACCCAGGTTGCCAAGGCGGGTTGTCGTGACAGGCATTGGCTTGGTGACCCCTCTGGGTGTTGGAACTCAGCTGGTGTGGGACCGGCTTCTCCGAGGAGAGAGTGGAATTGTTTCGCTGGCTGGTGAGGAGTATAAGAGTATCCCTTGCAGTGTCGCTGCTTTTGTGCCAAGAGGTTGTGATGAAGGCGAGTTCAATGAGGAGACCTTTGTGTCCAAATCAGACATGAAGGCCATGTCTTCTCCCACTGTCATGGCCATTGGGGCAGCAGAGTTAGCCTTGAGAGATTCCGACTGGCAGCCTCAGTCGGAAGCTGACCGAGTGGCTACGGGTGTTGCCATTGGAATGGGAATGGTTCCTCTTGAAGTTGTTTCTGAAACAGCTTTGATGTTCCAGACAAAAGGTTACAATAAAGTCAGCCCATTTTTTGTCCCTAAGATTTTGATCAACATGGCAGCAGGCCAGGTCAGCATTCGATATAAACTCAAGGGCCCCAATCATGCAGTATCTACAGCCTGTACCACGGGAGCTCATGCCATAGGTGACTCTTATAGATTGATAGCCCATGGTGATGCCGATGTGATGGTGGCTGGAGGTACAGATTCCTGCATTAGCCCATTATCTCTTGCTGGGTTTGCCAGAGCTCGGGCTCTGAGCACAAACACAGATCCTAAGTTGGCGTGTCGACCGTTTCATCCAAAGAGAGATGGTTTTGTAATGGGAGAAGGTGCCGCTGTGTTGGTGCTGGAAGAACATGGTCATGCCGTTCAAAGAGGGGCCCGGATCTATGCGGAAGTTCTGGGCTATGGACTCTCAGGTGATGCTGGTCACATAACTGCACCTGATCCTGAGGGAGAAGGTGCCTTAAGGTAAAGATTGACTGTTTTATTCCTACTCTTCTTTCAAAAGAGACTGAGTTCCAAATTAGGGAAAACCAGTAATGCCTTGGTGTACAGATCTCTGTTGTTTTCTGTTTTAGGCTAAGCAAAGTGATTTTTTTTCTTTTTGTTTTTTGGCTTTAAACCCTTGAAATGTTGGAATATCTGTGCAAAAATTGGATTTTAGTTAAGGGCAATACATTTGTGAGGAAGACCATGTTTGTCTGCCAACTTTCATACATACATCTGTGCTTAACAGCTGTCAGGTGCTCCTTCCTTCAGCCCTCACCTGTTGCCCTCCATCAGCTTTGGAGAGAAAAGTCAGGCCTCTCAGATGTCTTGTTCCTGCTCACTTTCAAATCAGTTACTTCTCAACCTTTCACGCCCATGGATCTTTTCAAAATACTGATGCTAACTCTAGGCTGGCACTTGAGATTTAGCATTTCTGAGAAGCTCCTGGGTGATGGTGATGCCTCTGATGTAAGACCACACCTTGAAAAACGGTGAAATGTTGTAGACAAGATAATTAGTAACAAAAAACCCAGAAAGACCTTGATAATGTGTTACTATATAATCTAATTTGTTAGCTTTCATACATTCTATGGTATTTTTTACCCCTTTAAATTAGAAGTTAGTAAGTCTTTTCTTTAAAAGGACAAATAGTAAATATTTTTGAGTTTTGGGCCATTGAGTCTGTTGCAACCACTCACGGTTGCCCTTAGAGTGTGAAAGCAGCCTTAGACAATAGTATGGAAACAAATAGTTGTGAATATGTATCAGTGAAACTATTTATAAATGTGGGCATTTGGCCAAGGCTCATAGTTTACTGACCCCTAGATTAAAATTTGGATTTTGGTGAGTGGTTGCTGCTGCTAGACATGTAACTAGCTAGATGAAGAAATAATTACATTAGGGGAAACCTTTCAGCAAATTTCAGATTATATCATGAGCTTCCTGCTAAGAAATACATGCAGCCCAGGGGCTGGTGTTGTGGCACCGCAGGTCAAGCAACCACCTATATGACGTTGCCATCCCATCTCAGAGTGCCAGGTTCCAGTCCTGGTTGCCCTGCTTCCCTGATCCAGCTCCTTGCTAATGTGCCTTGGGAAAGCAGCCGAAAGGCTCAAGTACTGGGCCCCTGCTACCCGTGTGGGAGAACTGAATGGAGTTCCAGCTCCTGGCTTTGGCCTAGCCGACCCCCAGCTGTTGCTGTTGCTGCTGTTTGGGGAGTGAACCAGCTGGTGGAAGATTTCTCTCTCCACTCTTTTAAATAAATGAAATAAATATTTAAAAAAGAAAAAGGAATACATGCAGCCTGCAGATCAGGAACTGAAAAAGTATCCACATCAAGAAGTTTTCAAAAGTTCTTCCAGAGATTTTTTAAAAATTTGTTTTTGGCTTGGCTTCATATTTATTTATTATTCTTATAGCCTAAATAAAGAGAGTCTTGAAAGGTTACTTGAAGCATTGAAGTAGTAGATCATTGGGAAAAATGCCAAGTTTTACATTTAAATATAAAAAATTAAAAGTCATAAATTTGTACATTTAAAAATCTATGCATTTACCCTGGTCACAAAAATTTGCTAGAAGAAAAATTATTCTGGTCTTAAATCAACATGATTTTTTCCCCCAGGAAAAAAATGTCAACTCAAATAAAAGGAATTATAGCTTTAGTAGACATGATAGATTTCATGGATTTTTATGTTTAACTCATGGTGATGAATCAATCCAAGGTACTGGGTGTGACTTACTATTCTGCTTGCAGGTGGCATTCTGCCTCATGTGAGAATCCAAGATGGATGGGGTCCTGTTACTGGAGCTAGGATTATTTTCATCTAGTATAATCAAATACCTAATACCTCTATTTCTTTCACATAAACCATGTATAAAGAATTTCTTATTAAAATTAAACTTAGTCCTGATAAATTTGTTTTCTTATTTTATTAGATGTATGACTGCTGCTGTAAAAGATGCAGGTGTGCAACCTGAAGAAATATCCTATGTCAACGCACATGCTACTTCCACCCCTTTGGGAGATGCTGCTGAAAACAAAGCTATCAAGCATCTTTTCAAAGGCCATGCGTACAACCTTGCAGTTTCCTCAACCAAGGGAGCCACAGGACATCTGCTGGGAGCTGCAGGGGCGGTTGAAGCAGCTTTCACCACACTAGCTTGTTATTATCGAAAACTACCACCTACTTTAAACCTGGATTGTACAGAACCAGAATTTGATCTTAATTATGTTCCACTGAAGGCACAGGAATGGAAAACTGAGAACAGACTTATTGGACTCACCAATTCCTTTGGTTTTGGTGGTACTAATGCAACGCTTTGTATTGCTGGCATGTAGGACAAATCATTTGTAATTAAACATTGATTTTTAAAAAAATGCTGTAAGAGAAGAAATAATATGTATATATGTATGTGTTTTTGTATCAATAACCAGATACCCCTTTTTGGTAGTTTTTCTGTCTTGACACTATTGATAATCTGGGTAGGATAGTTCTTTGTTGGGGAAAACAGGGATGCACCTAGCATTGTGGGATGTTCAGTAACACCCTGTTCTTCACTGTGTTGACCACCAGTTCCTCTAGACATTGCCAAGTGTTTCTCGGGGGAAAATACAAGACAGGTCAATACCACTGACCTGTCTTTTCCCAATACTCCTAGGCCAGACAGCTTTCTGTGACATTTTGCTAGCTTTGGTCCATTTCACAGATATTTAGGGAATACTACTCTGTGCTGGGCAGGGTTGCTGTATTGTACCACGCCAGGGGAACCATTCATATGTAATGTAAGGAGTATAATGTAACTAGATGTTGGAATCAGTGCCCTTAGAGTAGCTGCCAGTCAGCAGTGGTTGTTTACCTCTTATCTCTCCAATCCTCTTCATGTTATTCACACTGTAATTCAGTGAAATTAATGGAGATTGCCTGAACTACCGAGCCATCGATTCCTGAAAGAAGTGAAATTGGTTTGAAATTTCTTATTCTTTTTGTATTGATGCTGGTACCTCAGTGGTAGAGATCAGGATCTTTGGGGAATGGAGCAGTAATTGATGATTTGACCCCATTGCCATGGCCCACCTCTAACTTCACTGAAGCTTTGGTTGTTCTCTGTGTTCTTCCGACACTCCCACAAGCATTGGAGGTCCCTCTACTATTCTGCCTTGGGACGTTCTCTAAAGCCCAAGGGATTGCATTCTGTCCCAGCAGGCAGGTAGTGTGAGGAGAGAGAGAGGAGCAAGTTCCCCAGTGGCAACTCTGAAACACTGAGAGTGTAGTGGGGGTAAGTGCCAGAGCCTCACTTCAAGGCCTGTCTAAAGTCTGCACACTTCCTCAGAGGGTTCCTGGTGAGATGGAACTTAAGTGCCCATAGCAGTAATTAGCTCAGAGTTCCTCCTTTCCTGGCTATTCTTCCATGTCTCTGCACCCCTCCCCCTTTTAATTTTTTCTAAAATATTTTTATTTATTATAGTTTTTATTTAATGAATACAAACTTCATATGTACAGCTTTTAGGAATATAGTGTTTCTTTCCCCCATTCCCACCCTCCCACCCCACTTCCATCCCACCTCCTACTCTCTCTCCCATTTTTCATTAAGATTGGTTTTTAATTATCTTTATATACAGAAGACCAACTCTATACTAAGTAAAGATTTCAACAGTTTGCACCCACAAAGTATAAAGTACTGTTTGAAGTCAGGTTTTACCGTTAATTCTCATAGTATACCTCATTAAGGACAGAAGTCCTACCTAGGGGGTAAGTGCACAGTGACTCCTGTTAATTGAACAATTAACACTCTTTATTTTGGATGTCAGTGACCACCTGAGGCTCTTGTCAAGAGCTGCCAAGGCTATGGAAGCCTTTTGAGTTCACAAACTCCGTCGGTATTTAGACAGGGCCATATGCAAAGTGGAAGTGCTCTCCTCCCTTCAGAGAAAAGTACCTCCTTTTATGATGGTCCCTTCTTTCCACTGGAGTCTCACTCACAGAGATTCTTCATGTAGGTTATTTTTTGCCACACTGTCTTGGCTTTCCCTGCCTGAAATGCTCTCTTGGGCTTTTCGGCCAGATCCAAATGCTTTCAGGGCTGATTCTGAAGTCAGAGCCTACACCCCTTTTTGATTTTTAATACTATTTCCAGGAGTTGCTCCCCAAACCACCTGTTATCAGGCTTTGTTTGCTGAGTGTGTACAGTGGTAAATGGGTTGTGTGTATTTCTGCAGAAACAATAGGGATCCCCAAGTTATAAGAGCCCAGATGTACTGCCCACCCACTGACCTTGACTGGATACTTTAATCCCTTGTATGCCAATGATTCCAGCCATGTATTCACATGACTATAATCAGTTCTGATCATCATCAGCAAACATTTAGTTCAACTGAAACTTTTGGGTGCTACTGTAGAGCTGGCATTTTTCTGATCATTGATATGATAAATGGAATGTGCAGGGAAATATTTCCTAAAGGAAGCAGAAGCTGTAAGAGTGAATAGATCCCAGCCAGGTGAAGATGGGGCAGATGGAGAAGCAATGTTCTAGCCAGAGGGAGGTCAATGTGAAATGGTCTAGAAGGTGGAATATTTGTGTTAAAATGCATACACCCTGATATGGGGGATTGGGGAAAACTGCCAAAAACATCTGGTGGAGGTCGGATCACAAAGAACCTTCCAAGTTTTGTTAAAGCAGTAAGGGTGGTGGGAAGCCATGTAAGGTTTGGGATGTGATGGTGCCTTTGTAATATGCCAGATTGGCTAGGTTGAACTACATTTCCCAGTATTCCTTTAACTGTGTTTTTGGTTAGAGGGGGCCACGAGCGATTGCTGTGGGAGACTTGCGAGTGGAAGCGAAGCAGCATTTTTTTTTTTTTTTTTTTTGTAGCTCCTACATGTCACTTATCTGCAGGCTTGCCTTAGTGTGAGGCAGTGGCTGAGCCTGTAATTACTTTACCCTCTCTGACTCCTTCAGCTTCCCTGCTTCTAGACCAGGTGTGTGTCAGCTCCTTGCTAATGAAGGGCCCAGCTTCTGCCCCTTGCTGCCTAAGTTGGAGCAATAAGAACTGTAGGGTTTCATTTCATCTTGTGTTTGTGAGTTCCAGCTTCTTACTGGAACATTACATTCACCTTCCCAACTGCCTGCCTTGTGGACTTCAACTCCAGAATGGGAAGATAATAGACCTGAAAGCATTACACAGACCACTTAGTCAGTTCCTGCTGTGGGGTGAGGTCAAGTCTATGGAAAGCATCCATGTTTACACTTAGTGGCTGCATTTTTCTGAATAAATCCTGACTGGTACATATGAAGTATAAAAGTTATTGAGAGTGATAAAATCCTTTTCATTTAGGAGCATCTCAATAGAACAGAGAACAGATTGGATGAAAGCTTGATTCTGTAAGAGAAAAGTCTTGCCTATTAAAGGCAGAGTGGCTGAAGCAGACTGTTTTGATCTAAGTTTTTTCTTAAGTTGAAAATCACTTGTAAGCATTTGACAAGTGACCTCAAAGCAATAAAATGCACCCATATGAAGTGTGCAGCTCAGTGAGTTTTGGGAAAGGTGTGTACACATGTGTAGCCACCACCTCAATAAAAATGAAGTCCATTGCTGCAACCCCCAGAACTCTTTTAGCTCTAATCACTGCAGAGCGCTCTATCACTATACATAAGATTCCCCTTTTCTGGAATTTTATATAAAAAAACACAATATACTCTTGTGTCTGGCTTTTTTCCACTCGTAATGTCTTCGAGGTTATACCTGTTAATGAACTGGATTCACTCCCTTTTTATTACTAAATTTTAAAAATCTTTAATCAGTAAAGATGTCCTTGACTTTCACTCTGCCTCTAATCCCTACTTAGTTTAATTTTTCCCTTTTTACTTTTCTCCACTATTAATTTTTAAAATGGCTATGCCTTGCCTTTTGAACAAAAAGATAAGGATTAAAAAATTGTAAAAGCAAGTTTGCTGCTAAATCAAAGAATCTCTGAAAATCACAGATGTGTGAGAGTTTTAACAAAAGACACAGACCCATGCTTACATAAGTTAATTGAAATCATGGGAAGTAGTGCTAGAAATCTGAGAGTTTCCTGTAGCCCAGTGCCAAGAGTATGTGTAGGTTACTACTTTTGAATCCATATATCCCACCTCTATCCCTGGGGTCTTAATGTTTAACAAAGAAAGAGAACATAAGATAATAAAAATAAACATGGCTTTTATGTTAGTTCAGGTTTCCTGAGAAGCAGGGCCAAACAGGATTTTCTGTGCAAGAACTTTCCTGGGGAAACACCTGTGAAGGATAGAGGTGGCAGGGGAGAGCAGGGGAAAGCAGAGAGAAGCTTCAGACTGCAAGAGAAGCATGCTGCTGCAGGAGAGGAGATGCAGGTACGAAAGAAGATCGGGTAGGAAGGGTCTCAGACTGAAAGAGTTTGGCCAGGCTGACAGTTTACGAGCCACAGTCTCTCATGAAAGCATTCCACATCTCTGAGGAATGGGCCTACAGTTGTATCTGCCTGGTGCTTGGTCACTGACTGGGATCTGCCTTGGCATAGCAGGAAATCTAAGCTGTGCATTTTCATGGCCTTTATAATCCACCCCTGGGAGCACAGAGATCTGTTTCTCCATGCAGGTTCTGGGAACAGCTCTTTCGTGGTTCTCATGGGTTTCTTTCTTTCTCCTTCCTTCCTTCCTTCCTTCCTTCCTTCCTTCCTTCCTTCCTTCCTTCCTTCCTTCCTTCCTTCCTTCCTCCCTTCCTCCCTCCCTCCCTCCCTCCCTCCCTCCCTCCCTCTCTCTCTCTCTCTCTCTCTCTCTCTCTCTTTCTTTCTTTCTTTCTTTCTTTCTTTCTTTCTTTCTTTCTTTCTCTTTCTTTCGACAGAGTTAGACAGTGAGAGAGAGAGAGAGAGACAGAGAGACAGAGAGAAAGGTCTTTCTTCCATTGGTTCACCCCCCAAATGGCTGCTAAGTCCGGAATGTCACCAATCCAAAGCCAGGAGCCAGGTGCTTCTTCCTGGTCTCCCATGCGGGTGCAGGGCCCAAACACTTGGGCCATCCTCCACTGCCCTCCCGGGCCACAGCAGAGAGCTGGACTGGAAGAGGGGCAACCAAGACTAGAACCCGGCGCCCATATGGGATGCTGGCACCGTAGGCGGAAGATTAACCAAGTGAGCCACAGCACCGGCCCCATCATGGGCCTCTTTCTGAGGGAAATTTTGAAAGAGGGAAGTTAGTAGGCCCGACACATCTCTGATGTTGCGGTTCGTTTTGGGTCCACAATAGGCACTCATCCTCTCTCCAATCTGCTATTCATCCTAAATTTTCTTCATCCTTGGCTGTTGTCTTGGAAGGCCTTAGTGGCTTTGCTGGTGGTGTGACCCAAACCTGCATTGTTGAGGAATGTTGGACTTTGGTGATGGATAGTAGTTACTGCATGTGTCATGGAGCACTGGGATCGAGAGGCAAGGGGACACCA